CCATGAGAAAAGGAAAAAAATATTACTTACATAATGAGTGTCAGGAAATTTTCAGGGCCATTAAGAGGGATTTAACTGAAGTCTTTTTTATAAATACTAATGTATGTATGGCATTCTAATATAAAAATACTATAATGTAGTCATTCCTCTAATGAGGGTCATTTAGAGTTCTCCAGAATTTTATTATAAACATTGCTGCATGTACGGTCTGATATTGATCTTCTGTGCATATGTTGAATGTCTTTGTAGTACTGTTGGGATTATAGAAAATGTACTTTTTATTATTTTAATACATACTGCCAGTTGTTCTTCACTTGTACCTAATTTATACTCCCACCAGCAGTATAAGAGAGTTTCCATTTTCCTCTATCCTGGCCAATACTTAATGTTCTAAAACTTTAAAATTTTTACCTATTTCTCTGAGTACCTGGAAGACTAGACATCTTTCAAAATTGTATTGGCCATCTTCATTTCTTGTCCTATTAATTGACTGTCCTTTCTTTTGCATGCTTTTCTATTGGGTAATTTATTTGCTTTTTTATTAATAGTAGTTCTTTTTATATTCTAGGTTTTAACCCTCATATATTACACTCTGGGAAAGATCTCTCTGTTGCTTATCTTTTACCATTCTTAATAGAACAAGTCATAGAGATTTTACATTTTGTAATGATCAAATTCATTAATCTTTTCCCTAATTTTTTTTCACTTTCTGGGCGTTAAGAAGCCTTCTCAACCTTGAGATGATAAATATTTCCTTCTAATAAGTACATAAAAATTAAATGTGTGCTTATTTACTGATGCATTGATGTTGCCTCATTTAATTAATTACTGCTTCATAATGTATCTCGAAATCTAGTTGGCTTTGCTGTTTTGGCTTATTTTTCTTTCATACTGAGTTTAGAAGGGCTTACTTCTCACTCGTCTATTACTACTCCAACATCCCATGATTAGGCCTAAGTTTTACTAGCTCAACTACCATTACTTGCTTAGTAAGACACATTTAGTACTAAGAAATTAAAATATTCTTCCAGTTATCAGCAATGACTAGTCAATACTAGTTTTATTTATTGTTTGCCACACATAAACTTACCATTTGTTCTTATCTCTATGATAATCACAAATAAAATGTTAGAAATACCTGTGCAATGATTTAACCTGTATAAGTTTCCATTCTATGTAGAAATGTGATAATTATTTCAAAGCATTATTTAACATTGTTAACCATTCTTATTTTCTTTTTTTAAAATCAGTTACTTAACACAACCATCAATGGCTTATTATGCATGAAGACCTGTATCAGGCCCTGGATATAAAATGGTGAAAGCTCCCTCAATTATCACTTGAAACTTGTAGTGGTGATCAGGAAGAACAAGGCAGAGCTAGAGAGCAGTCCTGAAGAGGCAGAGACTCAGAGTGAGTGTAGGAGGAGGGACCAGGACCATGAGGAGGTGGGCAGGCAGGTACTAGATCCAAATGGTGCCAGCCAACAGGTAGCTCCCTAAGCCCTTCAACTTCCTTTACTTCACATCCCAAGGACCCCAGCACAGTCCCCAGCACAGTCCTTACTTCTGCTACAGCACACCGCTGACCTGTGTCTTCCTGGTGGGCTGGGGCTGGGAAAGGATGGGGTCTCTGTGGATTCCATGTGGAAGGGACCCTTGGAGGGCCCTGCCCCAGGGTCACCCCTCAGGTCCCATCTTCTTTTCTTTGTTTTTTAAATATGGCATCTGAACTGTGGCTTAGTCAAGTATCATGCAGACTGTTTTCATATTTTTTCACCCTCTTTTTAATAAATGACATACTAGTTTCAAGTGTACAACATGACTCGGTATTTGTATACATTGCAATATGATCACCATAGCAAGGCTAGTTAACATCTGTTATTATACATAGTTTTTTTTTCTTGTAATGAGAACTTTTTAGGTCTACTCTTAGCAAGTTTGAAATAAGCAATATGGTATTAACTATATCACCATGCTAAACGTTACATCCCCATGACATGTATTGTATAAATGAAGTTTGTACTTTTTGACCCCCTTCACCCATTCCCCGCCTCTGCCTCTGGCAACCACCATTCCGAGTCTGGTTTTGGTTTGTGTGTGTGTGTTTAAGATTCCACATAGAGGTCACGTCATTTGTCTTTCTCCATCTGACTTATTTCGCTTAGCATAATGCCCTCGAAATCATGCATCTTTTCATAAATGGCAAGATTTCCTTTTTTCATTGTTGAATTATATGTTATATAAATACAATATATACATTAAATAAATATATAATTATATGTTGTATTTATATATAATTATATATCTATCCCATTTTTTAAAATCCATTCACCATCACTTAGGTTGTTTTTAGTATCTTGGCTATTGTAAATAATGCTGCAGTAAACACGGGGGCACATATATCTTTTCGAGTTAGTGTTTTTCCACAAGTGGAACTGCTGGATCACATGGCAGTTCTACTTTTGAAGACTGAGGCAGTTCGACTTGGCGAAGTTTTCTTACTGTTTTCCATAGTGGACGCACCAATTTACATTCCCACCAACAGTGCACAGGTTCCCTTTTCCCCACCTCCTTGCCAACACTTATTTCCTGTCTTTTTTGTAATAGCCACTCTGACAAGTGTGAGGCGATGTCTCATTGTGGTCTTGATTTGCATTTTCCTGATGATTAGTGATGTTGAGCTCCTTGTCATGTATCTGTTAGCCATCTATGTCTTCTTTGGAAAAATATTCAGAACGTCTGCTTGTTTTTAAATTGGGGTTGTTTTTTTTTAACTAGTTTGTTATTTTGGATATTAACCCCATATTAGATATATGATTTGCAAATATTTTCTCCCATTCAGTAGGTTGTCTTTTCCCTGTGATTCCTTTTGCTGTGCAAAAAGCTTTTTAGTTTTATGCAGTCCCACTTATTTTTGCTTTTGTTGCCTTTACTTTTGGTGTCAGATCCAGAAAAATCATTACCAAGACCTATGTCAAGGTGCTTACTGCCTGTGTTTTCTTCTAGTTTTATGGTTTCAGGTCTCACATTCAAGTCTTTTATCTATTTTGAGTTACTGTGTGTAGTGTAAGACAGTGGTCCCATTTCATTCTTTTGCATGTGGCTTTCCAGTTTTGCCAACACCATTTATTGAAGAGACTCTTTCCTCTCTGTATGCTCTTGGCGCCTTTGTCATTCATTAATTGACTACATATGGGTGGATTTATTTCTGGGCTCTCTGTTCTGTTTCATTGATCTATGTGTGTTCTTATGCCAATACCATATTGCTTTGATTATTATAGATTTGTAATATAGTTTGAAATTGGAGAGCACGATGCCGCAACTCAAGATTGCTTTGGCTTTTTGCGCTTCATATACATTTTAGGTTTGTCTATTTCTGTGAAAAATCCCATTGAAATATTAATAGGGATTGCATTAAGTCTGTAGATTGCTTTGTGTAGCAACTGCTTCCAAGCCTTGAGCACGGAATACCTATTTGTGTCTTCAGTTTCATTAACGTCTTAGTTTTCAGTGTACAGGGCTTTCCCCTGCTTGTCTAAATTGATTATTTGTAGTTTACTCATTTTTATGCAGTTGTAAATAGAATTGTTTTATTTCTGTTTGTTAGTATATAGAAACCCAAGAGATTTTTGTATATTGATTTTTGTATCCTGCAACTTTATCACTGGATCTAATGTTTTTGGTGGAGTCATTAGTGTTTCCTATGTATAACATCCGGTCATATGCAAATAGCGACAGTTTTACTTCTCCCTTTCCAGCTTCGAAGCCCTTTCCCTCCGCTTCCCTCCCCTCTCTTTTCCTTTCTCGCCCAGTATCTGTGGCTAGGACTTCCAATATTATGTAATAGAAGTGGCAAGAGTGGGCATCCTCACCATGTTTCTGACCTTAAAGGAAAAGCTGCTTACCACTGAGTATGATGTTAGCTGTAGGTCTGTCATATATGGCCTTTTATTATGTTGAAGTATGTTCCCTCTTTGCACTTTGTTGTGAATTTTTATCATAAATGGATGTTGAAATTTGCCAAATGCTTTTTCTGCATCTACTGAGATAATCACATGACTTTTATCCTTTGTTAAATTAATGTGGTGCACCACATTGATTCATAGATGCTGACCCATCCTCACATCCCTGGAATAAATCCCACTTGATCATGGTGTGTTGTCCTTTTCATGTATTGCTGAATTTGTTTCGCTAATATTTTGTTGAGGATTTTTGCATCTATGTTCATCAGGGATACTGGCCTATAGGTTTCTTTACTTCCGGCATCCTAGTACAGTTTTGGTATCAGGGTAATGTTGGCCTCCTCAAATAAGTTTGGATGTGTTCCCTCCTCTTCCACTTTTTGGAAGTTTGGGAAGAACTGGCATTAATTCTTTAGATGTTTGGTAGGATTCACCAGTGGAGCCATCTAGTCCAAGTCTTTTGTTTGTTAGATTTTTGATTACTCCTTAGGAATCAGTCTGTTTAGACTGTCTATTCCTTCATGATTCAGTCTTGATAGGTTGTGTGTTTCTAGGAGTTTATCCATTTTCAGTGTTACAAAGTTGTTGGTGTACAATTGTTCAGAGTAATCGCTTATGATCCTTTGTATTTCTTTGGTTAACTTCTTAAACTCTAACATCTGACCCTTCCCACTGGCAACTTTTCTGCCTGTTCCTTGTGTGGGTTCCATCTTTGGTTAAACATCTTTCTAACAGAACAACTCCACCTACCCTCACCCACTTTTTTTTTAATCAAAGAGAAATTTCACCTGGAAATCACTGGAATGTAGAGTTTTTGTTTCTAACTTAATGTTGAATTATCCTTAGCACTGAAAATACCATGTTATGGTTACATAGCTGATGCTTACTAAACATGCAGATATAATGAATATTGTTAAATGACTCAACATGAAGAACACATAAAGTACTACTTCATTACTATTATAAATATTTTATAAATTCCCACTTATAATTTATGATAAAATCAACAAAACACAAGGTAGTACATTCACAGCACTTACTGTATATACTTCCTTTAAATGTGTTTATTATTTTAAAAAGTTTAGAACATTAAGCTGAGCTATATGTTTGTGGAATCCTTGACATATTTTAAGAAAATATGGCTTGGAATCACAGCTCTAGACCTCTTACTCTCAACACAGATCAATATGCAACAATATTTAAGACTAATTATCCTGACAGGTTTCAATTCAACATTAATCACGTTAAAAGTCACATATACAAAGTAAAGAAAATTACTACATGGATATTTGCATATATACATTGTCATATGGTTAATTAAGCACCACATTAATCTGCATTTTTCTTATATACCCTAAGAGGGTATGTATGATCTTTGAGGTAAATTTTAAAGAAAACTTAAGCCTACTGTCACATAATAAAGGCTTTTAGTAGTTCACTGTCTAAATAGTCTTGTTTCATTACATTTTACAATGACAGTAAAAAGTTCTGGAAATATCACTGCTTTGTTTTTTTGGTTCAGCCCGACTGCACCCCCCTCCCATGTTCATGATCTCACGATGCTTGACAGTACTGGGAAAGAGACCACACCACTGACAGGGTACTAGTAGGGCTCCACTGTCACTGCTAGTTCTCAGGACTTGCCTAACTTCTCCTCTAGCATTTCCTCTAGGAAACTGCATTCTGACAGTGTTTAGAACATGCATGTAATCCTTATCCTTTTCCTCCTTTTTTGTCTCTCAAACTTACTTCTTACTCTTTCATGAAAATTTAATTCAGCCAAACACTTGAGAAGGTAGGAAACATTCATTCCTAAATCTCTTGCCTATCTTATATTTTTTCTCTTCATTTTCTGCCTCTTAAAGTCTCAATTCTATAGAATACAAAATTTAACTCGAAGTTTATGTAAGAAACATACAAAAATGGTATAAAAGTTAATTTTCCAGGTAAATGAAAACCAAAATAAATCCAAGGAAATAATGAGAAACTAAAATTCATGGCAAAATATATTTAATGTATAAACAGGATTACCTTTTCTTAACTGCAGAAATCTAAGGAGAACTGAAAGGGCAAATTATAATTATTACATTAATGGCTCCCAGCAAATCACACACACCACCTGCTGTCTATATCCCTCTGTACTCCCTCTCATACCGACCCTAGACTTGCTTTGACCATGTGACTTCCTTTGTCCAATGAAAGGCGAGCAAATATAATGGAAGTGCAGCTTGATAGACTCTTAAACATACATTAGAGCCTGCCCTTTTGGAATGTTTCTCTGTCATGGAAAGAAACAGTCCAGCCTCCTGGAGGAGGAGAAGCCATGTAGAATAGAGACAGTCAAGTCACTGAATTATGAAAAATTATAAAACATCCTGTTTTAAACCACTGAGTTTTGGAGTGGTTTGTTATATACCAATGGATAAGAGCGGTATTTGTAGAACCTTATCATCTATGTATGTCTGTGGAAGAGCAAATTGATAAAAGTTAAAGCTATACTTAATCAGAAAAACACTTATGGTCTCTCAGCACACTTTAACAGTATTAGACTTGCTGTACTCCTGCTGTATTTCCCCCTCAACTCCCGCTATTCAGTCCACTTAAAAAGTATTTACAAGAGTCAACATTTTAACTATTATCCTATACCTATATAGGTACGGAAGTAGAAACTATATCAGTTAACAAGTGTACATGATACTTTTATTTTTAAATAATGAATTGTACATCTTTCATATAAAAGATGAGATTCTAGCCTGCTTTTAAAAAATAATTATACTTGATAATACTATGTTTACATTTTTTACAGAAGCTAATTTTCTCTAAATTTGTAGCTTCATTCCATAGCTTTTATAGAGTCATAATCTCTTGAATATATTTCCAATAGCCTTTAAAAAATAAATTCATATGAGATAACTTTATTTAACACAGTAAAACTTAACAGCTCACAGCACAACTGCCCCACCTTCCAGCTACCACTGAATAATTTTTCAGTACAGAAAAGCCAACATGTCAGAGTAATTAATTCTCTGTATTTACTTTTATTAAAAAGAGGTTTTTGGTAGTGAGAACAAATAATCTCTCATTTGTTGCTTGAAAGCCTAAAATAGGATCATTGGTTTCCAGGCTTGCTACTTGCTGCTTAGCAACCTGCCCTACTTGCCTGCCTTCCTTCCTATTGTAAAGTACAGTGGACATGGGAGTGGGCTGACGATAGATGAAAACTCGTCGAAGGCACTCGCAAAGGGCTGCATAAGAGTAATTTGGAGCACAGGCAAAAAATTTTTTGTCTCTCTTTGATGCTTGGACGTAGCCTGACAAAAAAAAGAACAACTATATGTTACACAGAAGGGGGAAAATTGTGACTAAACATTTAATATTTCATATTATTTATTACAAATTGAAATGACTAAAAATATATGCCAACAGATACTCAACAATGGTTAAATTCTGAACCATTAGTGGATTAGCCACCATCAATCGCTCCCAAATTTTGCACCAAGTGGTACAAAATATAAAGCATTAATGCCTAAGGAACAAAATAGGGTTTCATCTCTTCAGGAAAAGCACAACATAGTTCCCATGTAATTTCCATGAATAATTAAAACACTAAACATCTAACACACTAAAAGCAAGCCAAAATCTCTTTAAATGCCAATTTAATAACTGGGTTCATCAATCACAAATGTGGCATTACAGCATCTTCTTTCTTATCAAATAAATGAGAAAACGTTCATAGGATACTATTATAGTTATTTCAGGAGTGTGTGCAAAATGCAGACCCCACCCCCCAAGGTACTAATGCACACGGTGCACTCTCATTACTTCCGCAGTCAGTGGTATCTTTATACACCAGCACCAACCCTGTAACAAACAGGGTTTGCTGTACTTCACCTCCCAGGAGTAGAACCCTGACACCATTACAAGCTCAAAAGAAAATTCAAGCATCCAATTTAAAACCTTCATTAAGATAGCCCTTGAAAACTAATTAAACTTTGAAAAAAAAATCTTAATTTTATATTTTTAAAAATAATCATTTTTACATTTTAAAAGGGCATTTATGTACTGAAATTAGAATTTTCAGATTGGGACATGATTACTGAATGTTATAGCTTGTGAGAGAGGAAACTTAACAGGAATGTAAATCAACCTCATCAAATAATGAATGAGCAAAGGAACCGCTGAGCACAGGCAGATCCATGCTGGTTTTTTAATATTAAGCAGGGCTTGAGGAAGAAAAAGTAAAGAGGATGTAGAAACGTCCCTTAGTGGCCTAGAATTAGCTCTCCAGGCTAACTGACAAAATGCTGTATGTAACATCTCGAGGCTACATATCTAATGTAATGTTGATTTAACTTAAACTCAAGCATAATAGAATTCTTCTATACTGTGGAACTGGGGGATATAAATGGAGGCTCTGAGCACATGAAAGCTATGATAAAGCTTTCCTCTTACTAAAAAGAGGATAGAGAATTAAAAACCAGGGATTTTAGTAGAGAGGCTAGAAACTGTGGATTAATTAATCAAACTTTATTTCAGGTCATAAACAACTATTTGGAGTCTGAATTAACCAGTTTAGTGGCTTATATTATTAACTATAAGGGATAATCAAAAACATCTCTATGATTAGGGCTGTGCATATATAGCAATCAAAATGCGTAACTTTACTTCCTGCTACTGGCTTAAAATAACCTTTCAGTAAAGCAATAGCTGTGGTTAATTCATATAAAAAAATTTCTCCCACACAATACTAACATATTTTGACATAAAATCAATTATTGCATAAGTCTACAATTATGTAATTCAAAATGTTTTAAGCCCTAGTTTTAAAGCCAGTATTTTATTTTTTATCCTACAGAATAAACTTCATTTCTGCTTATCTTCTTTTTTCATAAGTGTTTTCATTATAATGGCTCTGTTTCACACGTAAGTTCCGTGAAAGATGTCTCCTAATGGGCTTTACCTTAGAGTAATTCTATGATGACTGAACTTAACTCTGAAGAAACCTGAATGCAAGTTCCATGCAGGGTATTGTCAAACCCCTTGTTCATCTTCTAGTACTGCACGGCTCAGCTGGAATAAGTGAGTAACGGATTAGAGTGACTCAAGTGGTTAGATAACCACTTAAGATTTCTACTCTGTGTTGATCTTCTACACAAGCATAAAAACAGGTTAGTCCTGCTGTTCCAGAAATACTAACGTTCATCAACTGTGCATAAGGAATGAAATTATAGCACAAATCAATCCAAATGTAATTAGGGCAGCTCAAATTTAAACAAACCAAAAAAAACAAAAACCTTAAGATGACTGTAATTTTTCATATAATGGAAAAGGCTGTCAAAGAGCTTGCTGATACCTAAAGCATTGAAAGTCGCGATATGCTCCCACATATCATCTTGTCTGCCGGAGCGTGGCTGCCAGAGTAGGGCATCGACATCGTGGCGCAGACAGAAGCAGGGCATTTCTTTAGGATCTACTATGACAGAGAAAAGGTACTGGTTGCTTCCAAGATTCACCTAAAATTAAAAGTGACAAAACCCAACAATTTACTCAACAACAAATTATTATTAATGAGAATGATGACAATTGATACACAGAACAATATGACAGCAACTGTCTAAACTCTTCACCTAATCTGATGAATGCTTCGTAATGCCCCTGGGAGGAAGGTGCTACTGTTAGGTCTCTTAGAGTTGAGTGATGCACAGGGCCTGCAAGTAACTTGCCCAGGACCCGCCTGGTAATGAGTCATGGAGCTGAGATCTGAATCCAAAGTCTATGTTCTTAACCACGACACTAAACTACTTCTCAACTGTTAGTAACTTGTTTAAAACATGATATAAAGCAACAATTTTACAAGCAGAATATTTTTTAAATCACAGAACACAAACAGGAAGTTTACAAATGCTAACTTGTAATAATTACCAAGAACAATGGCAGCTATAGGATTTATCAGTGCCTTCTATATGCCAGGCATGTCGCAAATATTAATCTCAACAACCCACAAGGCTGTTATCTTCACAGATGAAAGATCATACTTGAGAGCTTGAGTAACCTGTTCTAGACTACAAAGGAAAACCACAATGCTGGGATTCAAACTCAAATCTGTTTACAAATTATTTACTTTGGTACACTATTTACAGTAAAATGTCAACAATATGTTAATAATTTTATTGCAATAATGATGGATAAAGAAATTCATTTTAATACAAACGCATCAAAAGTTGAGACTTATAACTGGATTCCATTTATAAGAATACTTCTTTTAATGGAAAGAGGTTGAAGTGATATTCTTATTTGAAATGCTGTTTATCAAAGTTAAAAATGCCGAAATACCAACAAAAATTACAAGTGTAGAAAACATAAAATATGCATAGTACTTGATAAACACTGAACTGCTTCCACGGGTTTTACAGCAGACTGGAGTATAAAATGTTGGGTTACAATTAAAGGTGGAGACCTGCTCCATACTCAATAGGAAAACCTGTGAAGTGACTTTCCAGCACAGGCTGCTGGTCACAGGAGGATCCGGAGACAGAGGAGCCGCCCAATTTGTGTTGACCCAACAACACCTAGGGACAGGGCTCCTGGGTGGGGCCAGTGCTGGTTCCTACAGAAGGTAACAGGCTGGAACAGTGATGACAGATGATTTCTCTTCTCCCTTTGCTCCTGATAATTACTGGCTAAGTGAGGTTTATTTTCAAAAATCATTGCCAACTAACTGGTCTTTTATATACTCAAAATCAAGTTTCTGGAAGTTAAAAACAAACTATAATTTACTAGTCTGATGTAACTAACTGCAAATCATAATTTACTATGAGATAAAACACTCCTTTTATTTACTTATTTTAAAAATTTTTTTAACTGAAGTATAATCAGTTTACAATGTTGTGTCAATTTCTGGGGTACAGCATAATATTTCAGTCATACATGTACATACATATATTCCTTTTCATTATAGGTTACTACAAGATATTGAATATAGTTCCTTGTGCTATACAATAGAAATCTGTTGTTTATCTATTTTATATATAGCAGTATCTGCAAATCTCAAACCCCAATTTACCCCTTCCCATTCCCTTCCCTGGACCCTGTAACTGTAAGTTTGTTTTCTATGTCTGTGAGTCTGTTTCTGTAAACCACTCCTATTGAGATAATTTAGACTTCTTCCCTTTATGTAGTAAAAGAATTTGTAATATGCCTCTTACTTAATAAATTCTAGCGTTCCTATTCTTCATTTTAAAATCAAGTATTCCATACAGCTAAATAAAAAGATATGCCACTCAAGATGTAGGATATTTATTAGGTTGCTCAGCAGCCACATTAAGAAAACAAGCTTATAATTCCATTCAAAAGTTGCAAGCTAAGAGTGGATAAAGGAACTGCATATAAACACTGCTTTTAAGATAACATCTTATCAAGAGGTTCCATGAGAAAAATAAAACCACTTTTAAGTCTTTATACCTTTTACTACCTTTTCTTGCCTCACTGCACTAGCTAGGAGTTCCAAGCATGAGGCTGCCTAGGAGTAACGAGGGCAAACACCATCACCTGTTACTAACCTTAGCGGGAAGCATTCTGGTTTTTTACCAGATGTTAACTCTAGGTTTTTCGAGGAGGCAGGTAGTTTAAACTCCCAGTTCGCTAAGCATTTTTATAGTAAATGGATGTTGTTTTGTCAATTCTTTTTCTGCATCTACTAGAATAGTCAAATATTCCTGACTTTAGTCTGCTGAATTACACTGACTGATATCTGAATGTTGAATCAGCCTTGAATTCCGTGGGTAAACTCTACCTGATCATGATGTATTTATGATCCTTTTTACTTATTGCTGGATTTTATTTACTAATATTTTACTGAGGATTTTTGTGCCTGTATTAATAAGAGGCATCGATGGGTTCCCCCCGCCCACCGCCCGTTTTCTTTAGTTGTCGTGTCTTTGCTATCAGGGTGATGCTGGCCTCATAAAATAATAAGTTGGCAGGTGTTCCTCTTTTATTTTCTGGAAGTTGGTATAGAATTGGTATTACTTATTCATTTGGTAGAACACACCAGTGAAGCAACCTAGGTCTGAAGATTTGTCAGAAGGTTTCTAACAATAAATTCAATCTCTTTAGCAGATACAGAACTACTAACATTATCTGTTTCTTCTTGAGTGAACTGTGGTAATGCTTGTTGTTCAAGGAACCAGCTTCACTTAAGTTGTCAAATATATGAAAATAGGATGTTCACTAACATTTCATTTTATGCTTTAGTGTCTTTTGGACTTGTACTGACATGTCCATTTTTATTCCTGATGTTGGTAATTTGTTTTTCCTGGTTATTCTGGCCAGAGACATCGATTTTGATCTTTTCAAAGGATCAGCATATGGTTTTATTGATTTTCTTTATCTTTGGTTTTCAATGTCACTGATTTCTGCTCTTTGTTTCCTTCCTCTTACTTGCTTTAGATTTGGTTTGCTGCTTTTTCCCTAGTTCAACATGGAAGCTTAAACTATAAAATTAAGACTTTCTTTTTTAACATAATAGGTAATGCTATAAATTTCCAAGCATTGCTTTAGCTGCATCCCACATGTGCTGTGTTTCATTTTCATTCGATTCACAATATTTCCTAACTTCCTTTGTGAGTTCCACTATGCCTCACAGGTTAATACTGCTCATGATTTTTATTTTTTAAATTTATTGAGGTTTATTTCACGGCCCACAATATGGTCTATTTTGGTAAATATTCCATGTCCCTTTCTGCGATTCCAACTAGATGTATGTTAGACCATCTGATACTGCCCACAGCTCTTGGAAGTTTTGTTTTTGTTGATGTTTTTATTTCTAATCCTGCCCCGCCCTGAACCCCCTTTTGGTTTCAGATCTTCGAGGTTACTGATTTTTTTCTTCAGACGTGCCGAGTATATGGATGAGTCTGCTGAAGGCATTCTTGTGTTGCTGTGGGTTTGTTTTTTTTTTAATTTCTAGCATTTTCAATCAACTCCTTTACAGTTTCTCTTTGCTAAAATTCTGTATTCATTAATCTTTTCTACTAAAGCCTTTAACATATGAACCACAGTTAATTTAAATTCCTTGTCTAGTAGTTGCAAAATAGGGGTTCATCGCTGAGTCTGGCTACATTTTCTGCTCTGTTTCTTGATAAGCAGGATGTTCTTTTCTTCTTTTTGTGTGTCTTGTAATTCTTGATTGAATACTGGATATATAAAATGGACTTGAGGTAAGCAGCATTCATGCCTGGGAATGGAAGGCCATTAGTGTGGTGGTTATGACAGAGGGAGGCTGAAAAGCGGGTATCTGAGCTTGAGTTTTGTTGCTGTGGTTACCTTCAGTGTATCACCAACTTCAAATTCCTCTAGTGTCACTTTGCACTCTGGTGGGGACTGAATTTTCCTCAATTGTACTGTTCCACCCCTAACCTTAGACCTTCATTATGCATCTGCATTTCAGAGCCTCTATGCTCTTATCCTCCCCTAGTGGTAGATTACTGCCTGTTACTCAGTGCTTCCCAGCCTGATGGTGGGGGTTAGGGAGGATAGAGGCAGAGGATTCTCCACTGTCTTGGTTCACTCAGTTGGGCCTTGTGTCTTTGGGTTTCAGGGTTTGGGCTTTTTCAGTGATACTGCCTCACCTCCAATGGTGGGAGAATTCTAATAGTCTATGCTTGAGTTCTTGCCCCTCCCTGAGACACAGACAGTGTTGAAAAATTTTGTGTCTTCTTCTGAGCCTTTCCTTAAGATGCTAAGATTGATGCTCTTCCCTCAGCAGCTTAAAGCTTTTGTTACTTACTTAAGGAAAATAATCCAGGTAGGGCTTCATGCATTTTCCAAGCAGAAGATACTTCCCTCCACCCCTGCATCACCAGGGTGGCTTTTCTCTCGTCTCCTGTTCCCAGTCTTTCTCATCAGGCCCTGGGCAAGGTCCATAAAGAGGACTTGTGAATGCCATGGGTTCACTACTTTGTTGGTAGCCCCTACTAAACCCTCAGCAGTTTTGGAATTCTTCTTGCCCACTTATATGGCAACTCTTCTTCCCAAGTTCATATTACCCAGCTCTCCTATCCAGGCTCTCCTTGGTGGCAACTGTTTTTCCTTGGATTTCAAGTTGGTTGCCCTGTAACCTCAGCTCTCTGATTCTACAGATTATCCAGCCTTTTCTTGTTACACTGGTAGTGTACACTCCTTCCAGCTTTTTACACCCCAGAGTGACCTGGAATTCCCTTGCTCACTATAAACTTGCCTAAAAAGCAAGCCACTTATGATGTGCAGACTGGTGATAGTCCAATATCCCACAAGAGGATCCACAAGCAGGCAAACCTGTAGGATCCCACACTCCTGGCTCCTACTAACAGAATCAAGGGTGGAAAGCTAACTTAAAGGTAAAAATGTCTTTTATCCACAGATCTATGAAATGGTCAGACTGAAGTATTTTCTTAAAAAAGTGCTTCCCATACTGGATGGTGGCCGGCCCCAAACACTAAATCCTCCTCTTTGGGAAGTTTAAATGGGAAAAATA